GAAGGAATCCAAACTCATGGTCAAGAGTATTTTTTCAAATAGGAAGGGGGTGTGATGCAGTTGAGAATGGGTTGTCTGAAAGCTTTAACAATGTTATATTGGATGCTAGGAAGAAGCCAATTATTTTAATGTTGGAGGATATTAGACTATATGTGATGCAGAGGATGTGTAGTTTAAGGCAGAAAGGAAGTGGATGGGGACACTTTGATGTATGTCCAAACATAAGTCTTTCCATAAATGAATTGAAGATCCAACAAAGGTACTTTAATATTCACCATAAATCAATTGAATATCCAACCAATGTACTTTATTAGCCATGCTAACTGTGATTATTTGTAGGTACTGGCAAGTGCTTCCTAGTGGCCTGAATACATTTGAAACAAGAAACTTAGGAGAGTCTTATGGAGTTGATTTGGAAAAGAAAACATGTACTTGTAGGATTTGGCAAATGAATGGATATGGGTGTGTACACTCAGTGGCAGCCATTAGTTATGTAAATAGAGATGTAGAGGCATTTGTTGATCCTTTATATCGTGCTTGCATATATATGAACACCTACACGTACTCAATAAGAAGCATGAATGGGAGTGCAATGTGGCCCCCAACAGACTACATACCACCTTTGAAAAGGAAGATGCCAGGGAGACCCATTACTAAGAGAAAGAGGGACAATATTGAGGTTAGTGGATCACACAGAGTATCCAAGGCAGGGAAAACGATGGTCTATGGTGTTTGTAAGAAATCAGGCCACAATAAGTCAACTCGTGATGCAATGTCAAAGGCCCAAAAAAGTCATGTCAAAAAAAGGAAGGCAGAAGGTGAAGGTGAAACTAGTGCATTAAAGAAAGGGAAGGGTCAAGGGCAAAGGGCAAAGGGGGAAAAAAAGGAAAGGGTGAAGGTGATACTGGAAGTGGAATTGGTTTCAAAACGGGAGAAGGTGAATGTGGGTCAACAAGTGGTGTGACTAAGAAGAATGGTAAAGAAGTATGTACATTGAAATTAAGGAAAAAGTCAGAGAGGATACTAAAGAAAAAGTTGGCAAAAAAGGTTGCAGGCAAAAACGGTGAAGGTGATACATCAAGCAAACCAATGGACTTGGATTAAAGTTGTTTTGTTTTTGGAGTATGTTAGTTACAATGTAAGGTCTTTATTAAATGTGTCTTGATGTTATGGTCTTGTTTAGTTTGTTAACGTGTCTTTAAAACACCAAGTTATGACATTAATGAATGCATGGATGTATGATGTTTGTTATTCTTTTGAAACATGAATGTTAGTTTCTTTAGTTTAAAACATAACATGAATGTTTGTTTATAATTGTACTTCCAAGGTAATTCGACATAACAAATAACAATCATATAACAATGTACTTCCACATAACAATGTGGTAGCACATGGGCACATTTCATTACAAAGCATAACATCATATGCAAAGCAAAACAATGGTTATAATAGGAACTACATTTCATTTCATTCATCCATTACAACTGAGGTTATTGTCTTACCAAAAACCCCCAAAAATTTGGTTCTAAAAACCAATACATCGTCAATGGGCACCACTAGTCAAAATAACCAACAACACATAACCTAATACATACATATAATACTAGCAGATGACGGAATTAGACAAAAAGAAACAACCTTCGACAACCCTGATAACCCAAAATAGACTAATCGACATCGTGCTAGCTACGAACTAAACTACACCCACCAAAATCCCCATCCACTGCAGTCGACGCAAACACGAACCCCGATCAACGACATCACTGCAACTCCAACAACACCCATCATACTCCTTATCCTTTTCAAGTAGCATATCTCCTCCCTAAATCGCCAAGCTATTGTCGCACCTCATCTCTCAATTCCTCCATCTGCACTTGGATTTTCATGGCGTGAAGTTCGGAATCAGTTGGTAAGTCTAGTTCCGAAGCTCTGAAACCACCATAAGAGAAGCTTTGTTCTGAGGCCATATCCTTGACTTATAGGTGGGAAAAAAACGAAGTCGGTGGTATTATGTGAAGGTTACGGATTAGGGTAACAAAGTGGTAGGGAAGACGGATTTAAGGGAAGACGGATTTATAAGGGGACCATTAACGATGACTTGACAATTCTTGGGGACCAAGATTACAACAGTAATATTTCACGGTGGTGCCACATGTCACGAAAATATGGGATAAACCTTTTACAATCGGTAAAATGATGTAATTAAACGGTCAAATGAAAGTATATTCCTTTAATGTGCAAAAAAAATAGTTTAGTGACCTTTTAAAAAAAACGCGAAAAGTTCGATGGGCTAATATAACATTTGCCCATTTGTTTTTCGAACATTGATCTCCTTCAATTGGAACACATTATAAAATTCAACCAATAAATAATGATCAAAAAATATCCCGACCAATCCAAGCCTGCACTAACCACGCGCCGGATCTTCATCTAGTTAATATATAAGATTGATAATGATATGTAATAAAATCTTAATAAATAAAAGGTATTAAATTTAATTTTTATATAAATGTAAGGGATGAATTTAAAAATGTTAGAAGTTATTAAAAAAATAAGATTGATATTATAGAAACCATTATTATATTAAAGAAAAAAGAGGAAAGCGACCATAAATATATATCCCCTGAAGTGAAAGAAACTTTACATCGTTCATGTATTTAAGTTTTAGTTCATGTATTTACCTATTTTTTCAACTGCAAATTTTATCTAAAAAACTCATGAAAAATGTGGCATTTGAGGGAGTGAAAGAAACTTTACATCGTTCATGTATTTAAGTTTTAGTTCATGTATTTACCTATTTTTTCAACTGCAAATTTTATCTAAAAAACTCATGAAAAATGTGGCATTTAAGGGAATAACATTCCTCCTTCAATGAATTATTCATTTCCTTGTTACAAATACAACAAACAACTTAATTATTTTAACACATTTAAATGTTTATTATTTTCTAAAATATTTAAATAGCCAACATTTAAAAAAAATGAATCAGAAACTAAACCGGGTTAACCCACCCATATCCTCTATATATACCTTTTAGCTCTACATCAAATTAAAACTTGTTCAACAAAATCTCCATAACGAAGAAGATAAAAAAAATTATTGCAAAATATTTGTTTATTTTTTAAATAGATTTTGCGATTCATAACAATTTTATATTTGTTGTTCTAGTTATATATATATATATATATATATATATATATATATATATATATATATATATATATATATATATATATTATACTATATTATAAAATATATTAGTCATATCGTATATGATGAACGTGTATGTAACGTCATTTAATTGATTTATTCTTTTTCTTGTTTTTTCATTTTATATATTTTTGAATATTTTTTTAAAAAAAATCGAAAAAAGTTATATATATATATATATATATATATATATATATATATATATATATATATATATATATAAAGATCTAAATATTTGAAAAGTTTGAATTTATAAGAAAAATGAAAAAAATAGTAAATTCTTAAAATTAAAGTGTTTTTTCTCTTTAAATTTAAACAAATAATTTAAATAAATAAGCAAAAGAAACTAATGGGCTTTAATTTAGAAATTTTGAAATTAAAAGATAAATTCTTTAATGAAATTGATATCCATTTATACGAAATTTATTGCAATTATTATATTTGAATACCATGTGAAATTTAATAAAATAGAAAAATTATAAAATGACATGTGAAAAATAATAATTTAAAATAACCACAAAATGATATGTGACAAAATAAATGAGAGTGTGATATGCGAAGAAAAAGAACTTTATTTATTTGAGTAGATTTTGCAGTGGGTCTTTCGAAGTGTCTGTTAGGAAAGGGGATAGTCATCTACAATTTATGATACAATTTTTTTACATGGTAAAAAGATACATTTTGATCAAGTTTCTACCATTATGTAGTTTATTTGGTTTTATATTTTATGAAGTATAAAAATAATTTTTATATTAAATATTTTTGGTAGACCGATATTAGTAGGTTAAAAATAAGATGTATCTAATATGTCTGTTTTCTTTATTAAATCGTGATTAGATGCTATATTATCTTAAAAGAAAATAAGAAAATATATCTCGTGTAAATATGAAAAAGGGTATAAACTGATAAAAATCCTAAACGTTTTTTCATCTAATTAGGCTATGTTTGGCGTACTAGCTGAAAAGATAGTTGTTAGATAAAAAACTAGCTGATAGCTGAAAAGTTAGCTGATAAAAAATGACGTTTGGTAAAACTAGCTGAAAAATATGAAATGAGATAAAAGGACATTTAAAATAATGTGTTTTTATAAATAATTAAGGGGTATATTTGGAAAAAATTTAAATAGCTCCTAAAAAACTAGTCTAACTAGCTTTTTAAAAAGTTAGCTTATAAACTATTTTTTGGTTTGCCAAACATGACAACTTAAAAAAGCTAGTTGTGGCACGCCAAACAAGCCTTAATATAGTATAAGATTGATAATGATACGTAATAAAAGCTTAATAAATAAATGTTTATTAAAAGATATTAACTGTAACTTTTATATAAATGTAAGGGGTAAATTTAAAAGTGTTAGAAGTTATTAAAAAAATAAAATTGATATTGTTGAAACTATTAGTATATTAAAGAAAAAGAGGTAAGCAACCATAAATATATCCACTGAAGCGAAAGAAACATTACATCGTTCATGTATTTAAGTTTAAAATTACCCTGTTTTTTCAACTCTAAACTTTATCTAAAATGAAAAATGTGGGATTTTAGGGAATAACATTCCACCTTCAATGAATTATTCGTTTCCTTAAGTAGTTACAAATACAACAAACAACTTAATTATTTAAACAGTTTTAAACATATTTATTATTTTCTAAAATCTTTAAATATACAAGAGTCAATAAACAAATCAAAAACTGAACCGGGTTAACCCACCCATATCCTCTATAAATACCATTTAGCTCTACATCAAATTAAAACAAACTTGTTCAACATATATTGAATCAAATTTGTCATACAACATGCTTGTTCAGCAAGAAAATGTCATCCGACCTACTGCTAATTTTCCTCTCAGTGTTTGGGGAGATCAATTTCTCGCCTATGAAGAGGTATGCGAACCTTTAAAAATGATGATGAATATAACAAGTTATTGTGTCTAATATACAAGCACAATATCTTAATTATATATTCATGCTTATATTTAAGATTAAGATAATTGTATTTGTGGTCTGCGATGAATTGTATATCTTGGATGTTCTCATCCATTGAATTTCAATCAAATTTAATAGTGACTTATTTTAAAATGAAACAGGAAGATCAAGATGGAGTAGATAAGGCGATTGATGACTTGATAAAAGAAGTGAGAAAAGAAATATTGGAAACTTTAAATAATCCCACGGAACATTTAAATTGCTTAAAACTGGTTGATGCAATTCAACGCCTTGGCATTGCATATTATTTTGAAGTGGAGATCAATCAAGCCTTGCAACACATCTATGATTCATATGGAGACAACTGGATTGGTGCAGGGACTTCCCTTTGGTTTCGACTCATGCGACAACAAGGCTTCTTCGTCTCAAGCGGTCGGTGTGCATGCATGCATAACTTCTATTTATTAATCATGATGTGATATAGAAAGTAGCTATTAATGCCTTATATGAAATGAAACAGATATTTTCAATATATATAAGGATGACAAGGGAGAAGCTTTCAATGAGTGCTTAAAAAATGACATTCAAGGATTATTCGAGTTATATGAGGCTACGTATATGAGTATTCCGGGGTGAGGTCATATTAGATGATGCTCTTGATTTCACAAGAAATCGTCTTTATGAGATAGCAAAGGATCTTCTTTGGAGCAACTCTACCGTTTCTACAGAGATATATGAGGCACTAAAACAACCTTTACATAAAAGGTTGCCAAGACTTGAGGCTTTGCGCTACATACCTTTTTACCAAAAACAAACTTGTCATAATGATTCTTTACTAAAACTTTCCAAGTTAGCGTTCAACGCACTCCAATCTCTGCATAAGAAAGAGCTTAGCGAAATAACCAGGTATGTAGAAATATATAACCCCGACCTCCCTTTTTGTATATATATTTTTAATATTCTTGGAAAATCTCTCATAAACACTCATATTACTACATGTATGTAGGTGGTGGAAAGTCTTCGATGTCCCAAACAATCTACCTTATGCAAGAAATAGATTGGTTGAATGCTACTTTTGGGCTTTAGGAGTGTACTATGAGCCTAAATATTCTCAATCTAGAATGTTCTTAGCTAGAGTTCTTGCAATGGAAACACTTTTTGATGACACTTATGATGCTTACGGTACTTATGAAGAACTTCTGGTTTTAACGGAAGCAATCCAAATGTAGGAAAAAGAGCATACATTTGTCAACTAAAATAAAATATTTTACTCATATTTGTTTATTTGTAGGTGGCCAAGTGCATGTTTGGATGAGCTTCCAGAAAACATGAAACTTATATACCGAATACTAATGAATCTTTATGAAGAAATGGAGGAAATCTTGGCAAAGATGGGAAAAAGCCATCACCTTAACTATGTTCAAGAGGCGGTAATTTTCAAAACGTTCTAGTTGTAATCTTATTTTTCACAAATTGAATAAGGTTGCATAAAGTTATGGTTGTAAACACTTTTCATGCTTTCTCATGTTCCCAAAAAATTCCAAACATTTGATTTTTTTTTTAAATCGCATATCTATACTTAGCTAGGGCAAACGAGCCGAACAAACAAGAGAAAATGTTTATATATTTATGTTCGTTGGTTTAAGTTAGTTGAATAAACATGAACACATACACGAACGAATTTTCTTGTTCAAGTTCGTTTGTTTAACAAATTACATTGTTCATCTATGTTCGTTAAGGTCCTAAACGTACATAAACGGCCATAAACGAATGAACATAAAAAACATATGAACATAAATGAACAAACGTTAAAATTTGATCGTCAACATTTGTTATAGGTTGATCCTACAATGCCACTCTTTATATTTTTATGTAATCTAGAATTTCTAAAACTTAAACTGGACTAGAAGCTGTACTTTCACTAGCACCAGTTTTATAATATTAAATATATAATATAATATAAAAAGCAAACATAAATGTACGAACAAGACCATTCTTCATGTTCATTCATTTAATGTGACGAACAAAAAATATTGCTCACGTTCCTTCATTTATTAAATACGGATATAAACAAGCTTTCCATCAAACGATTCTAAAACCATCCACTCAACATTTGGTTGATTTACAACCCTAATCATACCTTTCATTTTTAATGTTTTTCAGATTTCTAATTTAGATTTATATTAACAACCTTCCATTTGTTTTGAATAAGAACTATTTTTGTTTAAAGTCCAGTCTCACGATTTATTGTAGTTAGGTTTTATGAAACGTGAAAAATATTATAATTGTGTATCTTTTAGTAATTATCTTGAAAATCAGCTTTTGACTATTATGGTTATTAAAAGGAAATAATTTTTATTTTTTAAAGCTATATATTATGATGCATGTGATGTAACATATGGTTGTTTCAGATGCAAGAATACATTAGAAGCTACATGACTGAAGCAAAATGGACACATGAAGGGTACATACCAACAGTTGAGGAACATATGGAACTTACGTATATTAGCAGCGGATATAAATATACTCTAGTAGCAAGTTTTGCTGCCATGGGTGATGCGATAACTGACAATACATTCAAATGGGTCCTCACTAATCCTCCTCTTGTTAAAGCTTGTTGTGTGCTTTGTAGGATCATGGATGATATTGTCACCCACAAGGTACATCATATCTAACTTAATTTTGCAGTTCTATAAAGTGATTTGTCTATAATCATTAAATAACCAAATTGAATTATCATATACGATGAAAAAATCAAGTTTTATTCATCATTGGATATTATGTTAAGTGATTGGTGCTAATTTTGAGGACTTTGACACCAATGTAGGAAGAGCAAGAAAGAAACCATGTGGCTTCTGGAATTGAATGTTACATGAAGCAATTTGATGTCACTGAACAACATGTGTATGGGGTGTTCAATGAGAGAGTTGAATATGCATGGAAAGAAATGAATAAAGAGTCTCTCATCTGTAAAGATGTTAATATGCATGTAATTATGCGGGTAATCAATTTAGCACGTGCGATGGATGTTCTATATAAAAACAAAGACCATTTTACACATGTTGGAGAAGAACTCATAAGTCATATAAAGTCTCTTGTTGTTGACGCTATCATCACATGAGTTTCAATTCGTCAGGATCTATTATGTACCATGTATTTGGAAGATGAATCATTGTCTCTAGTATATGACTTATTATAGAAATATAGAATAAGATGTCAAGTCCTTTGGTGTATGATAGTTTGAATGATCGATCATGGCCTACATGATCACATCGATGTTTAATTATATTATGTGTGATATTTTAATTTATGTTTGTATTTCCAAGCTAGAGTAATAAAGTGTGATCCTGCTTTAAGTTATTATTCTATTCGTAGTGGCATTTTAATGTGACACGATACCATATAAATGTATGATATATAAAGGATGCACATTGTGAATATTAATTTTTTTTTTCCTTTTCCTTTTCTTTTTTATTACATTTTCCAAGTTAGTGTGAATTGTTTTCAACCTTATCAATATGCTAAATGTTAAAGACGGTTCCTACAAAAATTGGTACTAAAAATTCATTTTTAGATCTAATGGTCTTTGCTTACGTCTTGGTCTCACGAGTCCAATATGAAATAACACATATGTATAATAACATATCACTTTTTTATCAACAAGAATTTCATCCAAAAAACTCTTATGGTTGTTGGAAGTTATGAAGGAACTACCAAGTTGGATAGTTTCATTTGTTAAACATAGGTGAATGAAAGACCTATAAGTACATTTACAAGGCTTTCCTTTGGCTTTAGTGGAGATTAACAGATGGGCCAAGTCTACAGACGTGCATAGCCGAGTCGTGGACTTGAGAATTTATGATTTTCAAATTGGTTTTAATTTTCTAACTCTATTTTTTTAATTTTTCCGATATCAAGACATTTTTTTTCTACCTTTCTTATATCATATTTGTTTGTGAAAGATCAGAATGATTTCCGAACTAAACTTGATAATATTCATAACAATAATAGTTTTTATAACGTTTGGTAATTAATTGTAATTAGGGTTGTAAATGAACCGAACGTTTGGAGAACCGTTTGGTAGGAAGTTCGTTTATTTAATAAAAGAAGGAACATGAACAAAAATTCTCGTTTGTTTAGTTAAACGAACGAACATGAACAATAGTATCATTCGTTCATTTATGGTGTGAATGTTTGTTTATGTTGTTTGTTTATGTCCATTCGTTTAAGTTTATTTATGTTTATATATGTTCAATTGTTTTTTATTACATTTCTATATAATATGTTTGTTTATGTTCATATATGTTCACTTGTGTTTGTTTATCTTTGTTTGTTTTTGTTGTTCGTTTTGTGTTTGTTTATCATGTTCATGAATAAAAACGAACGGACATGAACAAGAAAACTCGTTTGTTTATACGTTCGTGTTCGTTCATTTGTTCGGCTAACTTAAACGAACGATCATCGCAACATCCTAAAATTTAAGACTAGGTTACTAAATTAAATAAGTAAATAAATAAAAGATGATTTATGTAAATAAATCATTATGGGATAATCATATCATTAGTTGATGTGAAATTTAGAAAGTTAAAAGTAGAAATGATAACGCTTCAAAGTCTAAGGCCAAAATTGTCAAGTTGGCAAAGTGAGTTGATCAAAGAGTTGACTCAATTAATGGAATGGACTAAAAAAGTTACATAATGGATATATAAGGACTTATTATGTCAAAACTTAAGTTAAAATCGCAAAATATGAGCCTATAGTGGAAATTTGCAAAATAAGCAAACTAGAACTATGAAAAATGAAGGAAATAAGATGCACACTTTCTTCCCTCACTCATATCAGTCGTGTTTTATAACGAGGAAGTGAAATGGCGATTCAATCTGAAGAGAAACCCTAGGAGTTGATTTCAAGCCCTCTTGGTTCATTTGGTGTAATTTATGAAGAAATTAGGTGGCTCAAGGTATACTTTCTTCCTCCCTTACACCCCGTTCCCGAGTTGTAGCAAAGAAAAGAAGAGAAGAGAAAATAAAGTAAGGAGAGAAAAGAAAGGAAACAAAATTTGTCAATTGTGTTCCCGAGTTGGAGAGAAGTGGAAGGAAAATTAAACCTTTTGTTCTTTCTTTCCGAATCCTTCCAAATCGGAAGGAAAGTTATGTCACAACTAGCATTTTTAGCTAGGAAATTCTGTTTTTAGGTAAACATCAACTCTTGTAAGTCTTGTAATCTAAATGAATATCATACTCTATGCTCATTCAAATACATCTCATATGTCCAATTAAGGGTTGGAAACCCTAAAATCCCGGTTCAAGTTTAATATGAATTAGGATTCTTTTATTGGGCTAATGGACCAATAAACCTTCAACTTGACTATTTTGGGCCTAGGAACCCTAATTTGGCTCTAATATGACCCACATCCATAAAATCTTAGCATTTTGGGCCATGTGAGCCTAGAATGAACCTTCTTATTTCTAATGGGCCGTAACTTTTTTTAAATTGGGCTTCATTGGGCCGTGAACCCTCATAATGGCCCAATGGGCCGAAAAATAATTTTTGGGCTTCATATATTCGAAGAAGACTAATAATGGGCCAAATCAATTCATCATCATCTCTCTTAAGCCCAAATTCTCGGCCATTACCCATTGTCCATTATGCTTATTATTAAAAAAAACGGGGGGGGGGGGGGGGGGGGGGGGGGGGGAAGTGAGGAAATTTATGCATTAGACACCTCATGTTTGCATGGTGGTCTTCCATGCAAACATCACCTCACCATCTTTCTCTCTCTCTTCTCTTATTAACCTCGGCCAAAACCCCCACCATACCACCTCCATTTTTCATTCAAACACTTCCAATACTCTCTCAAAAGAACTCCTCCTTCTTCCTCTAAATTTTCGAGATTTGTGGGTATTCTTAAGAGATTTTGCATCAAGATCACCATTCTTGATAAGTTCTTACTTGAATATATGGTTTAACTTCTAAGATTTCATCAAAATCTATTCTTAACTCATATCATTTCATGATCTAACTTCCTAGGACCATCTAAGTTCGAAAATCATTCTCAAAAAGCTTCCTAGGGCCGAGATCTTCTCACATCTTCATCAAAAACCGAATCCAAACCCCCAAAGTGAGTTCATACCCCCTATTTTCGGTTTTTACTAAGTTTTGAGGGAGAATACAAGTTGCTTTGTGTAGATCTATGTGTATATGCATGAATATATGTGTTTTTCATGATTTATTTGGTGATTATGTGTTATTGACTTCATAAATCTAAAAATATGTTAAGAATATGAAGTTTATCACTTGGATCTACATGAAAACCTTGAGAAAAGTATGTGTTATCACATATAATACATGTAAACTTGTAGATCTGGGATTTATACACTTAAAATAGCAAAAACAAGTGTTGTGTACAAACATGGATAACTTAAACTCAAAAATCAGCCCTTGACAGAAAAGTTTTGGTCCAATCTCGAACTGTTTTGACCACCTTAATGGTACTATTTTTCAAAACTGTTTTACATGCAAAAAGTTCAGGTTTATACCTTTAAAATGACTACCCTCACGTTTTCATACGATTTTTCTACAATTTTTGGCGAATTTTACAAAACTGCCTATCATATTTGAAATAATATCGGACCAGCCTGTGAAAGTGAGCAATTTCCCACTGGATAGAGGCCATTAAAAATTATGAGAAAAATTGTGAACAAAGTAGACAAAATTTCCAAACTTCCAGAGTTTACGGATCTAAATTTCGACTCCCGATGATTTTTCTACAAATTTTCCAACAACCGGGTCCGAAAAGTCAAAAACAAGAAAAATGTGTATTTTCACAAAAATCAAGCCAAAAATGATATTTTTGACAAAGATGGGTTAGAATGTTATTTTTACCAAAAACTAGCCATAAATACAAGTTTTGAACAAAATGGGGACTAAAGTGTTATTTTTACTAAGATTGGGCCTTAATTGTAAATTTTTGGCTTATTGGGCCAATAATGTCAATTTTTACAAAAAGTGGGCTTTTTATGCTATTTTGGTAAATAATTTGGCTAATACTAGTAATAAAATAACAAACGGACTAATTTTGTCATTCGTATAATATTGGGCCTTAGTGGCCCATTAATATGCTTGATAGGTCCTGAATACTATTTATTTGTTTATTGGGCCTCACTGACCCATTAACACGCGTGACGGACCTTGGATACTATTTGCGTGCTATTTGGGCCTATAAATACCTTACATGTGAAATTGGCCTTAGTTGTCATTTTACATATATTTTGGGCCCATGTTATATAATCTCATTTCTTTCGGGCCTGAAAATGACTTACGTGTTCAGTGAGACTCAGTGGTCCGCAGACATGGTTCATTGGGCCCGGAATGAGTTTATATGTTTCTCTTCACGTAAAATTCGATTAAGGATCTAGTGAGACTTGTCGGTTGACACCTATTGAGTGTACGATCGTAGCCTGTAGTTATAATCAGAGTCTCTTGGAGGGAGAGCGGGATTTTGTGTATAGATCTATACGGGGATGACACCCCACACCTGAGCTGTTCGCTACAGTTAGACTACATCAGTCTAGGGTGACTATAACCTTATTTTATTTTTCCGTCGGCGTTCACAAACGCCAAGACAGGCGAAATTGTCAATATTTAGTATGGTTATGACGGCTCACTTAGAGGAATTAACGTTATGAAGTTTGTGGAAGATCATTCTCTTTTCTCTTGGATTACTCGGAAACTTACTTACACTGGTACTCAACCTCGGGGTTGGTACGACAGCTTTCTCTTTTCTTCTTTTACAGGCAACATCGGGTTGTCTGGGGGCATTCTATTTATATTTTTCTTTTGGCATTTCTATTAATCAATAACACACATGCATTAATACAAGATTGGACACAAACATACTAAACTATTTTAAGAAAATACAGGATTTTCTTGTGATTACAAAGTTATACAAATCATTTTCTCAAACATGCTTATGAACTCACCAACATTTTTATGTTGACCTTTTTAAATTAACTTGTATTCTCAGGAAACCGTTGAAGCAAGTTGGGACGAACAAACTAATGGATGTTTCGTTATATTTCTATTTCATCGGACTTTAATTATTTTGGCATGTAATATTCAAATACAATACTCGATGTAAACAATGAATGTTGTTATATTACATGTGTGATGATGATGATGATGTTATGTTTCAATTATATACTCTGTGATGATACTATAACAATGGAGTCACGCTCAAGCCCCCGGACGTTTCCGCTGTCTGGTTCGGGGGTGTGACAAGTTAGGAGGAAAAGTGATCCTTCAATTTCCTTCCACTTCATTCCTTTAATGAAACTCGGGAATACCAATTTCTTTTACGTACTTTCCTCTCATTTCCACCCATTTCCTTTCTTTTATCTCCTTAAAATGAACTCCAGAACGAGGTGTTAGGGTAGAATTCGAGTTTCATCCATGGAGTTGGATTTATATTCGAATTTTATCTCATTTGATTATTAGGGTTTGATTTTATAACCTCCATGTGTGGTTTCCATAGTTCTAATCTCAATCCAGTTATCCCATTAATAGATTTGATGATTTGGGTAAAAATATCCATGAGCCCTAGATATCTAATTTGAGGATATTACAAATTGATGATGAAATTGGATTGTATTATATAGCCTACATGATGTTTGATGACAATGAATCCAACTGAAATGCTCAAACACATCCATGCTGATAGAATCAAGCATAAACGAATAGATCCGAGAAGGTAAGCGGTGTGTCTCACACTTTGAGGGAAGTGGTGATGTGCTTGTAATCTTCACCTAATTGAGTGAGGATGTGCACAATTAGGTCTTCTTCAGTGACCGGCGACTGGGCTAGGGCTAGTTCATCTGAAATAACTTTCATCTCATGAAGGAATTCAACCATGGATTTAGAACCTTTAGGGTTCTGTGCAAATTTCGATTTCAAAGAGATGATACAAGATAGAGAGACACTCGTATAACTCTCAGTGAGACGTTTGAAGGCTTCACTGGATGTCTCTTGCAGAAGAAACGGTCGGTTGAATGGTTTCAGTATAACTGCCAAGGAGAGCACCAAGTAAGATTTGATCTTGGCGGTACCATTGTTGATACAGAGGATTTGGTTTGTTGTCGATTTTTTCTGGTGGTTTCTCCGTTGAATCTTTGACGAATTTGTCAAGATCAAGGCCGATGAGTGTGGAGAGGACCTGTTTTCTCCAAACATGGAAATTAGTTGAAGTAAGTTTGATGGGGAAGTGTGTGTGTGTGTGTGGTGATTTCGACAATGGTGGTTATGGTTAGGGTTTTGGTGATGGTTGCTGGAATTTGGGATCGTGAAGGCTCAGAGGAGTGTGAGTTGCTCTGATACCATATAAAGTACAAGGGAAGGTATGATTGAATCGTATGTTTATTAGAGAGAAGGCTAAGCCTTTTATAGACAGATTACAAGGAAATTGAGTGATTAGATGAGGTATATATGGTAAACCTATTGTGATTGATATATACATATTCTGAATGATACTCTTCCTTTCTACGGTGATTGTGTGGACCCAATTGTAGTGGTGTCGCTTATACTACTAAAAATTATAAAAATTCATGATTTTTAATTCCCTACAAAATGAGTATAATATATGTATGGAATATATTTTTTAAAAAAATGAAAGATTCATCCCATACACACCCTGAGTTTTGGTGAGTGAAAGAAAAGTAAGGGAAAGCTGACGTAACAGAAAAAAAATGAGAGATCTTTCCCAAACACACCCTCGGGTCTTACTTTTCCTATCTCTAAATTTACTCCATTTGTTTCATACGGCCTTTGCCAGAGGTGGTGAACGTGATTCAGGTCAATTCGTTTTCGATTTTAATTTATCATTCCTTTTCAATTATATTCTTGTTTGGCTGTTGAATGAGACTATTCTTCTGTTGTTTGGTTCGCGTTGTAACTATTACTTGCTTCATTTTTATTGATCATAAAATGATATGCATGGAAATTGTTACTCCACTTTTGAATTTAAAAATTGAAATATTTTTACTTTCGTATTCGAATTTTCCACTGATTTTTCTACTTTGGCGACATAGATTTCCCTAAATTTATCTTTTCGATAATTGTTCTTTGTCGATTTGTTGCTTATAAGATTCTATGAGTTTTGAAGTTAAAAGAATCAAATACGGGCTCTAAATTTAGTTGGATATATTATTTCATAAAGATAGATGGGAGTTGTAATTTGAAGCTCTCATGTACGAGGTAATGTAGAGAAAAAAAAAAAGATGATAGTGAGGCATGAAGGTCTTGGCCGTAAACATTGGAAAATGATGGTTTATTCATAGCAAAATTGGATTGATATTGAGGGCTTGTATTTAGTTGTTTAGGAGGGTTGATTATCACTATCCGATGATCTGATCATGGCTTGGAGGATTGTACTATGCACTGAAGGACATATAATGGTACATCATGAATAACACATTTTGGGCCATGTAATCATCATGTGTTTTAAGGTTTCATATATTTAACTTTATATGCAACATGCTTTAACTTCTAATACAAATACATTACAACAAATGAATAAAGGTCATGATTTCCACTTGACTCTTTACTTATAATAACACGCATCAAATATTGTGCTCAAACACACTTTAACTGAGATTTGTGACCACAATCCACACATAATGGTCTCTGCGGACTGTGGCATTTGCGGTCTATACTCTCACTATAGAACTAAAATCACGTTGTTTTTATGTGAAAAAAATGGAATCAACCTTGCTTTTATATGAAAACTTAATTCATGATGTTTTTATGTGTATAAAATTGTAACTGCATATATACTATTTGTATAGAATCATGGCTTTTAACATCCATTGTACATTCACATGTGAAATATAAGCATTTTTATTGCTATTCTAATTAGGACGTACATGTTATATTTGGCCTTTTGTAAAGAAAATAAATTTTAACCGATCCAGTTTTCAAAAGAAAAACCAAAAATTTAAGATTGTAAAGCATTCTAGTTATATAAATGATCTACTTTTTTTAATCTAATAAATGATCCTATTATCTAAAAATAATTTTTAAATTATGACACCTAAAAGGTTATTGGTTGATAATAAGCACACCCTAAGAGTAAAAAAAACCAAATGGTACCAACTAAAACAGTATTGTATAGGTTCATGTGGGCCAGTACTTGCTTCCGGACCCATTGGGTCTGAGTAAAAACATAGGATCAAACCAAAATTTAAATGGTCAACCTTTGAATACTCATAAATCTCTCATATGTTCCCGGATTGGGCTAATCTTTTTCATGTCTTGTATACATGGTACGCTCAAGAATCACTTATTTGGATAAGCATAACCCTAAACATGGTAATTGAAAACTTAAATTTTGCACCATCAACTTGAACACTCATAAATTTTGCAGAAGATAAGTATGACCAAAGTTACATAGCCATATCTATGCAAAAAATTTTAGTCAATTTGAACACTCATAAATTTCACATATGAACTCAAAGTCTCATATTAGATTGATTTTCATTCTGCGTATTCTCCTTTGATTTGCTACATGTTAGACTTAAGAATCAACTGATTTTAATTGAGTTACATAGTCTTAAACATGGATACTTGAAAACTTAAATTTTCCAGACTTTATCCTTTTTCTTATTAAACATATGCATAATTTCTTTCTCAACTTTGACCACAAATAACTCTCATATGAACTCAATTTGGATTGATTCTTTTTGCTATGCGTTCTTTATCGTCTTAACTTCTTCTCATAATCAAGAACCTTATGTTTTTATTGCACATAGATTCTCTGTACTATAATGAGATTAGTTCCAAATTACCAGAATCGAACCTGTACCATATAGTACCTATTGGTTTGGTACATGGTTCCTACAAAATCCTATTTTCAAGTTCAATGCGGTTCAAGTATCGAGCTCATCCCTACTATATTGTTTGTATTTTTAAAAAGCCTTCTTTTAAACAGCTAGAGCTTTGTGTATCGTACTAGAGTAGATGCAGTTTTGAGCAAGATTCTTTTAAGCACTCACCAAAGGTTTCAGCCACATGCAATCGGGTCTGAAATCCTATTCTTAAAACACTTTTAGATGGCTTTGATGAAGCACGTTGCAGTGGTTCAATTGTGTAATGCAAAATCAAAACCTACTCTTTACGATTAGAAGATGAGGGACTTAAAAAACGAATTGACTATTATTCGATGTCATTTTATGACATTAACTCTATTTTTAAACCACACTTCCTTCAATTTCCCACCACATATCTACATATGCTTAACTCATAAGAATAAAGATCCATTACAAACTCTTTGAAATTGAGTGATCTTACATCATTTGATTTTATGTTAGTCACACGAAACCAGATATAGTGAATGCTGGATAGCCATAAATACCAAAAGCAGTTACTCTGCATGTCTTATATCAATCAAACAAGAAAAACCGGGGAAAAAAAACCTTTAAATTTATTTGAGATAAACAAGAATATTGAGATCAAAATTTGAACTTGAGGAGTAACATTGCAAGTAATCCAAAATAAGATCCAAATGCAAAGGTTCAAAGCAATTGTTGTTGGAGTAAATTTTTGAAGACAACTTAAGTCGGCATACACATTCATACAAATGATTAAAGTAACAAACTTGTCTTTTGAAGTAACACAAATGATTTGAATTTCAAGGATCAAATGGCATCAAACTTCTCATGCTTGGGTGAATCAACCATAGATTTCAAATAGTCAAAATTATTCATATGTTGTAGACATGAAAATGTGCACTTTTGACTCTCATTCACTCTTCTTAAACTTTGGGCATCATTGAGTTCACGCACAAGATCATCCTCAAAAAAGATAGACATCATAATCAAACGAAGCTAATTCATTAAAACCAGTAAATGATGGAAATGCAACAATTATTGATATAAAATTCTTTTAGTTATGGCTACTCATTTATTATTTTCATCAGAAATTGTGAAATACATCATTGTCAATTCATCTTCAACATACAAATAACATCATTAAATCAAGCTAGTTCTTTGCAACATATGGTAAAATCAATTAGCCCCAAATGAACAAACCTCATCACTCATTCAATTGTTGAAGTTCAGCCTTCAATTGTTCGATTTTCAGCCCCATTGACCTCTGTATTACCCCTCTCTCCTTCTCTGCCAATTTCGAAAGCAAACCTTCATACAATTCAAGAACTTCTTTAACTACAGCACGAGCACATTCAGCTTCTTCATTGAAATACACAGTTTCTTTTGATTCCATCGCCATTTCAATCTCTTCTCTTGCCTCTGCGAACTTCAAGTTTATTTCATCAACAACTTTGTCAGTTTCAACACTGTACGGCCGACAGATCTTGAACTGGGTGTATGATGTTATCTCAAAACAAGATTTTGAAGGTCGGGGATTAGCGGGGTTTGAAAAGGGGTTGCGTGATTTTGTTGTGATTGTTTTGATAGGAATTAGGGATGTGGGTTTTGAATATGTTCGAGAAGGGTATCTGCTGAGGAACTTGCAGAGAGAAACATGGCGGATTCGATGCATTTTGTGTGTGAGAAAAATGAAGGAAGTGTTTGGGAAGATGAAAGGCGTTGAAGCTGCACTCTTTGTTCCTTTTGGGAAGGTTAAACTGCACAGATAGTTCAAGCCTTCAAGGGAGGAAATGGGACATGGCCCATCAGGTTGGCTCTTGGGCTATTTGGGTCTTCTTCTAATGAGCCTAGTTTGGACAATTCATGGATCGGACTTGTGAAAGAATGATGGACATTAGGCTTGCACAAAAAAACCGGTTTACGATCCGAACCGGTGGCCGAACCGAAAACCGGTTCACCCTTGAACCGGTCCACTATTGAACCGATCCGATGTCGAACCGAACCGCCGGTTTGTAGTAATTAGGACTTCTAGCCATTCGAACCGGTTTATGCTGAACCGATCTAGAAAACCGGTTTTGAACTGATTTTGAACCGGTCTAGAGAACCGGTCTTGAACCGGTCTTACAAACTAACGATGCATATATTAGCCATGATATCCTAAGAAACAAAACAAACATTGTAAAAAAGAAGCAATTCCGTCCGATTTTTTTTTAAATGGTTCACCGAACCGGTTTTGAACCGGTTTAGGAACCGGTTTGTACTGAACCGAACCAGTTTGTATAGGTTCGAATTATTTTGGTGGTGAACCGGTTTGAAACCGAACCGATTTAGGGGTGAACCGGTTTTTGACTTCGTTGACCAGAACCGAACCGGTTTTTTGAACCGGTCCGGTTAAAAGAAAAACCGGTTTGTGCATGCCTAGATGGACTGACCAGCCCAGGTAGAGATAAAAACCGGATCGGATTTTTCTATATCCAATTTTTTAAAATCTGGTCCTATAATATCCAACTAGATTATGACCGCGTTAAACGCGGGGAACATAAATTAAATACATATCACATTAATAGGTAACATTGTCTTAAGTGAAATTTTAATAAAAAATATTAGTTAGATTCATTTTTAATGTTTTGAACCAAACTTGTTAAATAAAACTATTAAATATTTATATTAGAGCAATTTGGTTTTTTAATACAGTAATTTTTAACATAAATGATCCACATGATCTTTGTTTTATCACGTCATGATGTGACTCATTGATTAAAACATGTTGTGTAGTAGCTTTATGAATTGACTCTGTTCGGTGTACCAACCCCCATGGAGGCTCGCATGGCTCTTTTCATATTGGCCCTGTAAAACCAAAAACAGCAATAAGTTGTTATATGTCCCAGCAACCTTAAATTCTGCAAAGAAATTCGATAAACATTACAATTAAAGTGCATTGCCATAACCATAAACATCAAATTCATATATGTAATTTGGTCAATTTCTAAAGTATTTTTTCCTTATAAAAATTAAAATATGATTTTTCAGGCTACACCCAATCACATATACATATCTTTCGCTTAAAGAAATTATTACAAAAAAACATGTTATGAACAAAAAATAATATTAGTTTCATAATTTGCCAAAGGTTAACACTAATAAATTATAATGAACTTTCACAAATCTTGCATTTTGGTCACCACATCCAACTAACAAATGAAATTCAGTTTAGTGGATTGATTCAAGAAGTGCATCCATGACTTCTTGTAGCTGAATTTGGGGAAATGCTAAGACCTACTGAGATATGAGGGAGTGGTCTGTGAGGCTAAGGTTGGTTTCTGGAGGGCATTATAAATTCAAAATCGTTAGCACATATCTTTCATACATGCTTCAATTATCAAATTTAGATCAAACTTGTCAAAATCAAATTACAAAAAAAAAAAACCAAGATATGTAACCTAGCAATCAAACAACATATTTTTCATAGAAATAAATATCACAAATATACAATTTACACTTTATATAATATTCTTAAATTATATCTTACATTTTCATCTTTAATGGTCACTAACACCTCTTTCTGCCCTATTGTTGTGACATGAAAGAACTATAGAGTACACACATGCTTAATCGTACCAACAACAATCAATATTTTTTTATGATAAATATTGATATAAGTTTTGTCAACGATAAAAGATAGATTATCTTTTATTTATTTAAGTTAATTTGTTTCCTTTGCAAATTCTTTATTTGTGTATATATACCTGCAATACTTTGTACAAATTAATAATAAGAATCATCTGCCTAACGTAACAGATCCTTATTTTTTCTCAACCCTACCCACGCCTCTCTTCTTTTTCTTCTTCTTCTTCTTCTTCTTCTTCTTGTCGATTCTTCAATAAAGATCCATGGCTGCCGAACTATCCATGACTACTCTTCTTCACATGCTCACCATTAAACTTACCTCTACCAATTATCTTCTGTGGAAGAATCAAGTTTATCCACTCCTCTCTCATCAAAAACTCCTCCCTCATATGGACGGTACTTCTCATTCATCCTCTCAAACAATCACAGTCGATGGGAAGGAATCCCCTAATCCGGCCTACATCTCCTGGCTCGAAAAAGATCAAACAGTCATGCTTCTTCTTCAATCTTCTCTAACCGAGGAAGCCATGGCTGAAGTTATTGGCGTCACAACTTCTCGAGACCTGTGGACCACTCTTGAAAGGGCTTACAGCCATCACTCATCTGAACGTACACAAAACTTGCGTGATTCTCTGCGCCAATTGAAGAAAGGTACCTCATTTGTCTCTGTTTTTGCCAAAAAATTTAAATCTCTCTGTGATCAATTGACAGCTACTGGACATCCGGTCGATTATATGGACAAAACTCACTGGTTTTTATGCGGTCTTGGTCCCACTTTTGAGACGTTTTCTACTGCACAACGAGCTGTCCAACCACCGCCCTCCTTTGTTGATCTTGTCTCTCGGACTGAAGGGCATGAGCTTTTCTTGGTTTCTCTTCATGGATCTGCCCCACCAGTTGCCGCTTTTTATGCTCAACATCAGCCTTCTCGAGGCTGTGGTTCTGGTTTTGGCTCTCGAGGTGGCCGAGGCCGTGGTTCCGGTTTCTCTGGTGGCCGCGGACGTGGGAAACGTCCTCCACACTGTCAATTGTGGAGGATAATAAAAAAAAGTAAAATGAAATATGAGGGTAAAAATAATCCAAAAACTATTTAACATAATGTATATTTCATAAATGGAAGTTAAATATATAAACCTCATCTACTTGTTGGAGATCAGCAATAACATGAAAATCAAACTTATGAAGGAAATCGTCATTTGCAGAGTAGAGGATGGAGGACAAAGCGTTGCTAAAATTACCATATGTGCTTTCTGGACGGGCTTTGGCAAGAAATCTTAATAATAAAGAAGATGTTATTTTTGTTGTTTTAAAATAGGATCATTGATAAAGATCCTAGTCGTCGTAAAGCAATTTGTGACGGAGAACCGTTCTGAAACGATGCATAATGAAGTTAGTATAAATGTATATTCATTTATAGTAAAAGGAAGAATAATATTTTGAAATTTTTTTAAGGTGTAAGTTGTGAATCAGAGTAATGAACAAACCTCTATAATAAGATATTTTTCCGTATTGAATAACAACTACCATAGGAGTTTGTTTGTTATTTTCCAAATAGTTAGCAAACTATTATGCATACCCATCCCAGAGTGTTACATTTATTTGTTTGCTTCTATAAAAACCAAAAAAATAAATAAATATACAATATAAAAATAACATTATAAAGTAAAATTTGACACAAAATTTTGAAAAGTAAACATACTCTAGATCTTCCAAGCTCAAATTGACTCTCTTTGATAATTTATTTTTCTTGTTCACAAGGGTTCCATTGGGAAGCATCTCACAACATCTCCAATAACATATATTATATAAGATAAAAAATGGAAGATTAGTATAAAAGTTTCGGTATGGTGAGCGATGGTAAATAACATAATATCGTTGTATAAATCGTTAGATTGTAACATATAAACTAACCAACATGTGTGTTCTCAACAAAGGCACCATCCAAAATGGTGTTGAAGTTTGCAAAAAAGAATCCATAAAGTGATCCAGTCCACTCATTGAATGGTGTAACTTTGGTTGTGATATAAATATTGATTTTGTTTTCATTATCAACAAAACTATTTTTGTTTTGATTAAGACCAAGTTGTGGATTTTAGATGTAGTAACAACCATCCTCATGAAGCAAACTTTTAAATATTTCAACCCATCTATTAGTAACCTCTGCCTCGACCTTCCTTCCCTAAATGCACAAAAACCAGTTTATATATTGTTATATGTGGTTAGAATGAACTTGTAAGAAAATTCATAAATAAAAAAATTGTTATTACCTGTTCATCAATGAGAATCATATCAATACTTTAAGTCTTTGTTGAAGATCCATAAGCAAGATGTTTCATGAGACGGATTATTCTTACTCTCATGGTAAATTGACTTTTTGAAGCATCAAGTTGGTATATGAATGTAATGTTGCTTTGAGCCATGTTTTCGTTTGTGAAAAAACTAATCATTGTTAAACACATGTGACTCAACCAAGTAATACCGGGTAAAATAGGCAAAACAGGAACAATTCAAAATTATAGGGTTAGAGTGAAAATATAGTTTTAGGGACGAAATATATAACTTTTGACATAACTCAAGGACGCCAAATGTAATTTAGTCTAAAACATATAATGTAGAAAGTCTTTTGTATGTAATCAAAATCAAATTATGTAAAATAAAATTCTTATCATCCAAATATGAATGATGTTATATACTTTTTAAAAACATCATAATGCAAACTTGACAATAAAGTAAGTATAAATAATTTTTTCTGCTGCTCATCAGAAAACATATCAAGCAGTAGAAGGGGCAACAGTGGCAGGGGTAGGGGTATTTCAGGTAAAGAGAACGTATACATAGATGTTGTTCTACCCTCATTCATCATGCAAATAGTATTCAATGTAGAGGAGTATTTTTTTATGTGGGTGTATAGAAATATACCAGTGCCATTCACTGATATATACCGTTGTATTTGATTCATAATTACATTTGATTACACAAGTTTCAGGAATGTTGCAAATAGAAGATATAACATTGATTATACACAGACTCACAAACAAACATGTG